GCGCGGGGCGCCGGGGCGGGGGGCAGTGGGGACGCCCAAGAACCGGCAGCGAGAGACCGGGCCGCGTTTGCATGATCCACGCACACCGCAGGATTGTCCGCGGCGTCTGCGTGCGTTTGTTTACAGCGGGGGAGGGGGAGTCGGCCTCGCCCCCTCCCCCCCAGGGCCTGAGCTCTGAGCACAGGTCAGGGCTCCTGGGCAGAGAGCTCGTCGGAGGGCTGGAGGACTCTGCCTTGCTTCAGCGGCCGTCCTTCCGGCAGCCTGCCAGATTGTCCCCCTGCCAGGGGCCCCTCCGCCTGTGTCTTCAATCCCCTCTGGTGTGTGGGCACTCGCTAGGGCTGGGCACAGATGGCTGGAAGGCTACCTACCGGCAGGTCCGATTTTGAGGGGAGGAGTTGGGGTCATAGCCACCCAGGATTCCTGTCCGAAGCGCTCTTGGTGGGCATGGGGGTGGGTGAGGCCAGAGCACCTCCTGGAGAGGGCTGGAGAGACTGGAGTTAGGCAGTGTGGGGTTACCCAATAATCAAGGTAAGCACGGGCTTATGTGTGCTTACGTTCTGACCTGCAGTGAGCGGTTTTGTGTTCTTCCCACCACATCAAAGATTCGGCCGCTGGGTCTCCAACCCCACAGCGTCCTCCTCCGGGATCAAAGCCTTGCTCGCATTTAGAATCCCTGACAGGGACGGAGGAGTAGTCTGTGAACAAGGTAAGCACGGGTGACTTGTGCTTCCTTATGGGTCTGTAGTGGGAAAAGAGGGGGCTTCCCTTGCTTCTGGAGTGGTCTGGCTGTGGACCCAGGAATGGGGGGGGGGTGCCACGGCAGGTGGGTGCTCCTGTCCTGATCCTGTCCTGTCCTCTGCCCTCACCTTGGATCTGTCAGCAGATGGAGAAACTGAGGCACGGCAGGACAGGCCGGGTGGTTTGTGGTCCTCAGGTTGGGTCATGGAGGCATTTGGAGCTGACTTGAGCCGGCCCTGGCCAATCAATCTGGGCTGGGCGTGGGGCAGAGGACCCCCAGTGTGAGGGGGGAGACGTGTCAGGGGGGGGATGATGGAGGCAGACGGTTTGACAAGAGACTTTTGGGGGAGAGGGGATGATGGGGACAGTCCTGGCCGCGGGGTGTCTGCAAAGCTGAGTGTCCATTCCGTGGCGGGATGGGGACTCTGGGTGGTTGGGGGACCCATTCCATTGACTCAGCATTGACTGTGTGCACCTGTGCAGTGTCAGACCGGTGGGTCCTGGATTCCGGAAGAGAGGACAAACAGGGGTGGTGCTCGAACAGGGCCAGGGGGGTGCTTCTGAAGCTGAAGGGAAGGGGTGGGGGGTTTCCGGCCAGCAGCCTGAGGTGACTTGGTTTATAGTTTCCGCTCTGCGGGTGACGTCCTGTACCCAGCCCCTCCAGCAGCACGTCGACAAATGTGCCGAGTGGCCGAGGACGAGGGTCACTGACCGCCCTGGCTGAGTGCCGTCTTCTCCGTGGTGCTTTCTCATCGCCCGATGCACGACCGGGCTTCTGGGGCAGCATGAGGGCGGGGTGCTGACCATGCCACCCTGTGGGGTCAGCCTGTTTTCTGGATGTCCCTACACCTGGCCACGGGGGAATGACCTGATAGAGACCTGAAGGTGTGGTGACTGCCTTCTTGTAGGGACCTGGAGGCCTGGCCTGGCCACCCCCCAGTGTCATGGGGCCCACTGCCTGGTCGGTCACCTGGGTCTCTGACTCCCTCGTGTCACCTTCTTGCCCTTCCGGGCCTCTCTCTGTTTTGCATCCGCCATCACTGTCTGGCTCACTTGCTATCTCTCTGTGTCTCTCTCCATCTGGCTCTCTGACTGGTTGGCCGTCTGTCTCTTGATGATGTCTGTCTCTGCCCCTCTCTGCCTCGTTCTTTCTCTCTCTCACTGACAGATGTGAGTTCTGACTCCCTGTCCGTGCTTCTGTATGTCTCATTGTCGGGCTTTAGGGCTCTGTCCATGGACACACATAGCTCACAGGTTTGTATCCCCCACCCCCACCCCGTCTCTCTGCCTCTCTTCACTCCTTCCTGACGTTGAAGGGTGCCCTCCTCCGGGCTGACCTTGCCTGTAGCCTCTCATGGGGTCTTCAATGAGTCCTGAGCTGCCCCAGGCCCCTGCTCTAGTTTTCTTTGGGGCCAGGAGTCCGGCTGTCCAAATATTTGGCTGCCTCCAGGGGATTCCAGGTCAGCAGGGAAGAGGATAGGCGGGCTGGCTCAGGGTCTCCCCTGCCCTTGGGGGGCCACAGGCACGTGATGGCCTGTCCTTTGCCTCAGCTGGGCCTTGGGCTGCACCTTCATCTCAGCAGGCTGGCAGTTGGGGGGAAGGAGGCCGGGCTGGTGGTGACCCTGTGGTAAGCCGAGAGGTTCTGACTTCAGCCTCTGCTGGGGGTATCTGAGCAAGGGGGACCCGGGGCTAGTCCAGAGGGAAGTTCTAGACGTCTGGGCTAGGCCCAAAGCTGAGCACCTCTTGAGTTTCTAGAAAATGTTCCCTGCCACAGGAAGATCCACTTCCGGTCCCAGCTGTGGGCCTCTCAGACCCTCCCAGATACCTCCGGATGCCGGGGACACAGGACAGGCATGGCCGGTAAACCAAGCTCTGGGCCAGCCGCCCCTTCCTGGCTGTGCCCCCTGCTGGGCTAGCCCCTCCGTGCCAGCCCCACACTCATGATGAGGGGGCACCGGAGGGAGAACTGACTGGCAGCTACTGGGTCAAAGTCCGACATGGGGACCTGAGACTTGTTCCCTCCCCTGCACTTCCCCACGCGGCCTGACTCCAGCAGCCAGCTCCTGCCGACCACGGCTGTGTACTTTGAGAACACAAGTCCCGAGGGTCTACCCATTGACCAGTTTGTCCAAGGAGTAGGGACATCCCCTTGGGCCCCGTTAAGCGCATGAAGGCAGCTAGGGGAAGCTGCCTAGATGCCAGGCTCAGAAGGGGCACCGAGTCTCGAGGCAGAGCTAAACTGGTGTGACCCCTGACACTCCAGATGGCTACCGGCCAGATGCCCCTTTCGGGGGGAATTTTGGGCTGGGCCCCGGGGCCCCGGGGGCCCGGGCAACAAAGTCCGCCTCCCCGCCCCCCCCCACCCGGCCCCCCCTCCCCCAAAAAAAACAAGAAAAGTGGCCACAGGAACAAGGCAGGGACAGCAAGGGGATTCTTGGGTGACCTTACCTTAAGAGGCTCCAAGAACTTCATTCCCGGACATGCGAGGTGCTTACCCCAGCCACGGGCACAGCCGCCACCGCATGGCCTGATTCCTGGGCCTCGAAGCTTTAATTAGCCAACCCAACACCTGCCAAGGTGTGTCTGATGACTTCGCACCCTGTGACGCCTGCGTGGGCGGCCATCACCTGCTGTGCCATCCCCCTGGCTCATGGTTCCCGCCTCCCGCCCCGGTTCTTATCTCGAGCAAACAAGGGCCGGGGGCAGTGGCCTGGGGACCTCGATCTGCTGCCCAGGCCTCCGCTGTGACCATGACAGACACCGTTCTAATGACCCATTAGTGCCAGGTCACAGCGCACCCTTCCGCCCTGCTTCCCACAGAGTGCTCCTTACTCTGCCCCCAGCTTCAGCCACACCTCACCAGGGACGGGGGACACGGAGGTTCAGAGGGAAGTACTGGACTACAGTCATGCAGTAAGCCAGGGCTTGGCAGGGCCTCAGACCAGTGTCCACTCAGGGCCTTCCCCACAGTGGGTCAGGGTCTGCCCTCCCTGAGCAGGGGTCCTCCCCTGAGTTTCCCCGGAACCCCCAAGACAAAGGCCCGAGGGTCTGGCGTGGTTGGAAATTGGCTGAGGGAATGACTGGGGCCTCCGTGCCAGACTAAAGCTAGTCCCTGCCCGTGGGCCCCCTCTCCCCGCCCTCAGCCCTGGCCTACACTGAAGCCAGACTCCTTGCCCTGACACCAAGGAAGCATCACTGAATGGGCCTCAACGCCCCCTCCCAGCCACCCTCCGCCAGGAAGCCCCCCCTGAGTCCTTCCAGGATCCCTTGCTGAGTCCCAGCTCTCTGGGAACAGGAGTCCTAGGGTGGGGGCTGTGTTGGGGGGCTTGTCCCTTCCAGAGCAGAGGCCTCTGGGGAAGGGAGGGGTCTACCACGTCCTCCCCAGGACCAAGAGCCGAGGCTCATCGGTGACTGACTGGTCTTGCAGGGCCAGGTCCTGTTGGAGCAGGAGCCCCCTCCCAGCACCCCTGCTACGGGCTGTGGTCTCCCTGGAGGCGGGTCCTGGCTGCCAGTGAAGGGCATTAAGGTGGAGAAGGGCGCTTGTCCAGGCTTCAGACTCAGCACACTGTGAGGGCCTGCCCCAGCCTGTCCAGCACAGGGGGCCAGGCGAGGGCAAGCCCTGCTCAGTGCCAGCCTGTCTCTGGGGCCCAGGAGCACACCCAGGTGGGATTCCTGGGCTTTGGGGGAGGTGGGGCGCAGGGAGGCGCAGGGATGGGCTGACTTCAGGAGTCCTGACCTAGAAGCTGAAGTGTGGACGTTGTGGGGGGGGGGGGTCAAGTGGAGGGAGGGCTGCCTCGGTTGGGGTGGGACCACCTCTGGTTGGTGGTCTGTGTGTGTGTGTGGCTCAGGTCAGTCCTCTGTGCGCTCCCCTACCCACTGCTCCCCGCTCCCCCAATTGGGGGGGTGCTGTGCCCAGGTTCAGCGGTAGACCTGAGCTCACCGGGGTCCGGAGTGGGCAGGGGCCATCCAGAACTGGATTTGGGGGAGCAGCCATGCCCGTGGGCCCAGGCCTGGCTGACCCGCCTGGCAGAGCTCTCGCTCTGGGCCCCTGGCAGGTCCCGCCTTCAGGATGTCCTCGCAAAGCCTGGGGGCACTGTGCCAGGCACCTTCTGGGCATGGGATAGGTGGCACGCAGCCCTGGTGATGGGAGAAGAGCCAATGAGTAGGGGGGCGGGCAGCTAGTTCCTTCGAGACTGGGCAGTCAGTGGTCCAGTCTCCCCTCCAGCTGGCTGAGGCCTCTGCACTGCTGGCTGGGGCTCCAGGCCTCAGGAGGTCCACTCTGGGGTCTGCTCCTGGCGGGTGGCACCTGGGGCGGACAGGAGGCGAGCTTGGAAAGTTGTCATGGCCCCGCGGCTATGTAAAGGGTCAGACCTGTGTGGTCCAGAGAATGGGGACCAGACCGACAGCACCTATTTCCTGGAAGGCCCATGAAGGGCCCTTCACAGCGAGGCAGGATGGCCCAGGTGTCCAGCTGCCCGGCACTGCCCCAGGCCTCCTGGCTCTGGGGGCTAGCCTCTGCGCCTGCCGATCCCAGCGCCAACTCTCAGCCCACAGAGGACCCTTTGTTCTGGCTGCCAGCAGTGCCCGCCGGGCAGCTGGGAACAGGGCCCACAGCCCTCACCCTGTCCCGAAGCCTCCAGCCACCGGACAGTGGCATTCTAGGTTGGCCAGGAGGCCCCTGGCGTGTGAGCACAGCACAGGAAGCCATCTCCTGGTGTGGCTGGCAGAGAAGGAGATAGACCCAGGGGTCCCGGTGCCGCTGAGCACAGCTCGGGACTCAGGCCCCCCAGAGGGTGCTGGGTTCAAGGGTCGACAGGTGTTTGGGGAAGGGGACACCTACAGGCTGAGGCATCCCCTCCTGGTGGCCCGGGGACACCCAGGTATGGCAGCATCACTCCCCGCAGCAGGCTGGTCCCTGGGAGGGGGGCTTCTTGGGGAGGTGGCAAGTCCCGGGTGGGAGAGGGGCCGGGCCGGGGGCGGGCAGTCAACAGCGGCCCGCCGTGCTCCGCAGACGCCTGCGTGTCCGGGCCCAAGCCGCTGCTCCTGCCGGTCGTCCGGGGGCTGAGCCATGGAGGTGCCTCTGCAGACAGAGATGGTGGAGCTGGTGCCCAATGGCAAGCCTTCGGAGGGGTTGCTCCAGGCCGCCGCGCCAGCGCTGGACAAGCAGAGGTGGGCTGAGGAAGGAGCCGCCGGGCAGGGCGGGACGGAGTGCAGAGCCAGGGGCTGGCTGAGCCCCCCGCCTTGCCTGCCTGTGCTCGCAGACTGGAGGGCCCCAGACAGAGCTGCGGGGGTGGCGCGGAGGCCGAGGACTTCCTGCAGAAAAGCCCCAGCAAGGAGCTGCACTTCAGTGACGTGAGCCGGGGGGCGGGGCGGGAATGGGGGCTTGGGGCATGGCCGGGAGCATGGGTGCCTGGATGAGAGCCCCCTCTCCTTGCCCCACCGGTGCCCGCAGTTCGAGGGGAAGACGTCTTTTGGGATGTCGGTGTTCAACCTTAGCAACGCCATCATGGGCAGTGGCATCCTGGGGCTGGCCTACGCCATGGCCAATACGGGCATCGTCCTCTTCCTGTAAGTGTCCCTGCCCGCCTCCGGAAGAGGGGCTCGGGCTGGGCGTCCGAAGCAAGCTGGCAGCCATCACCTCCCAGGCCCTCCCAGCCCACTCCCGTCCCGGCAGCCCTTCTTATTGTCCACCCAGACCTCCTCGCTGCCCAGCACGCTCTCTGAGGCCAGTGTCTGTTCCCCTGGGGCCACATGGGAGGCCGGATCCAGGGGTCCCTGAGTCCTTCTCCTGGGGGCTCTGTCCTACAGCTGAATGGACTCGGGGAAGGAGGTCCTCACAGCCCCCCCCCCCCCAGCTGTCCTTCTGGTCATGTCCCACCTTGGGCCACAGGGGCCTGCTGAGCTTGCCCTGCACCTGTTAGGGGTCTGACGCCCAGAGCCTCCTGTCCCCTCCCCAGAGTCCTGCTGACCGCCGTGGCCCTGCTCTCCAGCTACTCCATCCACCTGCTGCTCAAGTCCTCAGGCATCGTGGGTGAGCCGAAGACCAGGCCTGCAGCTATAGGGGTGCTGGGGAGTCCTTGACGACTGACAACGGTGCTGACCCCCCTGTCCCCACAGGTATTCGTGCCTACGAGCAGCTGGGCTATCGTGCCTTCGGGACTCCCGGCAAGCTGGCAGCAGCCCTGGCCATCACGCTGCAGAATGTTGGAGGTGGGACCGGTGGGCAGGGGAGCGGGAGTCCAGCTCTGTGACTGGCTGGTTCCCCTGACCCCAGAGTCTGCTGGCCCCTCTCCCCACAGCCATGTCCAGCTACCTGTACATCATCAAGTCCGAGCTGCCCCTGGTCATACAGACCTTCCTGAACCTGGAGGAGAAAACTTCGTGAGCCCCAGAGGGACAGGGTCTTCGGGAGAGGGGAGGCCCTCGTCCACCCTCCAGGTCCACCTATGGCCCTGGGGCCACACTGGGTTGGGGAGAGAGACGAGTTGAAGCCCCAGGAATGGCTGAGCGAGGGGACAGAGAGCCACCGCAGAGCTAACTGTCAGCCCACATGATCATGACACACCCGGAGCCCCCTAAGGGGGCAGGGGGTTTGGAGAAGCCCTCCCGGCTTGGGTGGGTGGTGGGTGGGCCCCAGGCTCTGAGCTACCCATTAGGGGATGGGTAGCGGGGAGCCTTCAGGCTTAGCCCTAAGCACCTGCTATTCCTGATCACAGCTTGGGGGTTAGCACCACCCCCCTCCCTACTACCCAGAGCTTAAGCCCACGGTGTCCCAGTTGTCAGCTCCTTTCGCCAGTCCTGCCTGAGGGTGGCCAGCTCTGCTCTTGACTGCCCAGGCTGGACCAGCAGGGAGGTTTCGAGGCTGCGCAGCTTCGGTGGGCAGGTGGCAGTGACTCTGGGTGCAGCCCCAGGCCCAGCAGACCCTCCCCCAAGAGTCAGTCTTTGGACTTGCCCTTGAAGGGCGGCCCATCCCTGCAGATGCAGAGACCAAGAATGACCACGTGTTTAGCAAATCCCTGAGACCCATCTCCTCGGCTGGGTCCCTTAGCCCGTCATGTTTTTTTAGCCCCCCAGGGTCCCCTGCAGGGCAGCTGAGCCCACAACTATGTGTCCTGAGCGGGGTCTGATCTTAAGGGCTCCCAGGCCAAAGCCTGCCTGCCTCCCTCCTCCGTGCCATGCTGTTCACCACAGGGGCGTGTTACGCCGACACCCGTCCTGCAGTTGGGGACAGGAACACTCAGAGCAGAGGGTGCAGAGAACTCAGGGGCCACACACAGTGACAGCACTGCTGACTCATGAGGGGAGGGGTCGCCCTCATCTGGGCAGAGGACCCTGACTCTAGGTCTGCTGTCCCACAGGGACTGGTACTTAAATGGAAACTACCTGGTGATCCTGGTCTCTGTCACCATCATCCTTCCCTTGGCGCTGATGCGGCAGCTTGGTGAGTGGGGGTGGACATCAGAGACCCTCGAGGAGGTGATGGGGGACTGTGGGGGCTTCCCAGCCTCATGAAACACCCCACCCACCCCGTCCCTCTTCGTAGGCTACCTGGGTTACTCCAGTGGCTTCTCTCTAAGCTGTATGGTGTTCTTCCTCATCGCTGTGAGTCACACACACACCCCCACCGCCACCCAGCCCAGGCAGGGGTGGCTCTGCCAGGGACAGGCTGCTTTCAGAGGGATGGGAAGGCTCTCCTGGGAGCGGGTCAAAAGACAACATGTCTGACTTACCTGTGTGTGACCCGGCAGCCTAGCCTAGCTCCGTGACCTTTGCCCTTGCTCACTCAGGTCATCTACAAAAAGTTCCAGGTGCCCTGCCCGCTGCCCCTCCACATTGCCAATATCACAGGCAACGCCAGCCACGCGGAGGTCCTCAGGGAGGGGGGGCAGCTGCACGTAGAGGGGAGCACTGAGGCTCTCTGCACCCCGAGCTACTTCACACTCAATAGGCAGGTACGGACCAGCCAAAGTGGGGTAGGGGCCGCCGTGAGGGAGGGGGTGTATGTATGTGTGTGTGGGTGGGAGGCGGCATGCTCATCTGATGCCCCTGTTTCCCCAGACAGCATACACCATTCCCATCATGGCCTTTGCCTTTGTCTGCCACCCTGAGGTGCTGCCCATCTACACGGAGCTCAAGGAGTAGGTGCCCGGTGCTGGGGGACAAGCCCGGGAGCGAATGGCTATGGGCCCAAGGGTGGGGAGTGGGGGAGTGACTGGAGCCAAGTTATTCTGGAAATCCATGGGCGATCTTGCTGGCTGCCAGGAGGTGGGGTAGGAGGAAGGAGCAGGCCCCCCTTGGGTGGGGGACATTGTGGGGCCTGAGAGACCCCAAGGCACGTTGGGGCCGGTGCCAGCTCTCTCGCCCACTCCCTGCCCCCCAAGCCCCACCAAGAGGAAGATGCAGCACATCTCCAACATGTCCATCGCCGTCATGTACGCCATGTACTTCCTGGCCGCCCTCTTCGGCTACCTCACCTTCTACGGTACTTGTGGGGCGTGGGGCAGGGCGGGGCGAGTAAGGGGCTGTCCTGGGGTGGGTGATGCCCACGGTGCCCTGCCGCTGGGGAGGTGGGTCTAAGAGCCACCGCCATCCCCAGGGCCGGGATGAGCCCTGGCAGCACAGGTCCCGGCCCCAACCCTGGGTTGCCCACTGACCACCCCTGCCCGCCACAGACGGGGTGGAGTCAGAGCTGCTGCACACCTACAACAAGGTGGACCCCTTCGACGTGCTGATCCTGTGCGTGCGGGTGGCTGTGCTGACCGCCGTCACGCTCACTGTGCCCATCGTGCTGTTCCCGGTGAGCAGGGGGCGGCCCCCTGACGGGGCAGGGGTTGGGGGAGCACCGCTGGTGTGACTGGTGGGCTGACTGACGGCCCCTCCTTTGCCCCTAGGTGCGCCGGGCCATCCAGCAGATGCTGTTTCAGAACCAGGAGTTCAGCTGGCTTCGGCACGTGATCATCGCCACCAGCCTGCTCATCTGCATCAACCTGCTGGTCATCTTCGCTCCCAACATCCTGGGCATCTTTGGGGTCATCGGTGAGAACCACTGCCCTAGCAAATTCCTGAGCTCCCGCCCCATGCGCCCAGCTGGACCGGCCCTCAGAGCCTTGTTCTGAAGCTTCCCAACCACAGAGTTGGGGCCTAGACGAGCTTCCTCTGGGGAGTCCAAGGGCCAGCCCCCTCCCCAGCACAGGATCCCCTTAGACTTTGTGCCTGCTTCTCAGGCTCTGACGCGGGGACCTGGGGCTAGGGGCCACAGAGATGACAGCCAGGTCCCCTGGCCCTCGGTGTCCAGAATCCAGCTCCATATTCATGAAGTGGAAAAAGCTCTATTGGCTCAGGCCATGAAAAAGCCCTCAGGGCTGTTGACCGCGCAGAGGCAGACCACCCCTCAGGGCTCTGCTCTCAGGTCTCTCCTCTTGGCTTCTTGAGTGCCCGGGGAGGGGATGGTGGGCTCCTGGCCCCCCTGCCTGCCCTGGGACCCGAGTGAGGCCCGTCCCCTTGAGGGCGGCAGCAGCCATGCCTTGTTCTCGCAGGCGCCACCTCCGCCCCATGCCTTATCTTCATCTTCCCTGCCACCTTCTACTTCCGGATCGTGCCCGCCGAGAAGGAGCCTGCCAAGTCCACCCCGAAGATCCTGGTGCGAGGACGTGGTGGAGGTTGGCGGGCTGGGCTGGGCTGCCGCGGGACCACCCTGATCACCAGCCTGACACTGCCCTCTGACCCCGCAGGCCCTGTGCTTCGCCATGCTCGGGCTTTTGCTGATGACCCTGAGTCTGAGCTTCATCATCAGTGACTGGGTCTCCGGGACCGGCCGGCCTGGAGGAAGCCACTAGAGCGCCCTCCACCCCCCAGCCCCTGCCCTGCCCCATCTGCTCACCCTAGCACCCCGCCCGGCATGCCCAGCCCCGGCTCCTGCCCGTGGCCGGTGGTGAAGCAGGTGTGAGGCAGGGTTGGCCCTACTCCACCCACGCCTGTTCCGTCCACGGGCATGCGTAGGAAGGTTGGGATTGAGGATTCCGGCCACCAGCATGCTGGGGTCCCAAGCTGCAGAGGCCTCCTTTAGCGGAGTGGGGGTGAATGGGGCACATGTGTCCCTTGTCCCATTTTGTTACTTCAGCTGCCGCCCTGCACAGATGCCCACACTCAGAGCCAGCGGCTGCCCCCGGAGCCCAGGCTCCACTCCCAGAAGCCTCATCTGCCCAGCCCCTCCCTCACCTCTCCTCCCTCGGTCCCCCAGCCCCTTTCAGGCCCTTGAACACCTGTGGCCCCTTCTCCTGTGGAGCCAGGGCAGGCTCCACCATGGGACCCCCGTTCTGCCTGTTCACCTACCCTGGGGAGGCTGGGACTCCCCCCTCCCCCCACCCTCAGCCTGGGCCCTGGGCCACAGCCCACATTCCACAGCCAGCAAAAGGGAGAGGCTGGGGCTCAGTGTCCCTGCACCCTAGGCCAGGGATCCCAGGGGCGGGGGTGGGGAGGTTGTCAGCTCCCCCCTTTTATAAATATTCTACGTAAGACCAGCTGTGTTTTATATTCTTGGGTTATATGACTTCTGGGCCCCTGAGAGGCAGGGGGGAGGCATGATGGAAGTTCCCCTGTCCCCAACCCGCCACGTCCCCTTGTCTCCCAAACCAACCACCAGCACAGCGGACAGGGCTCTGGGCCTGAGCCAGGCCCAACACAGACCTGCTTTCTCATGGGGTGAGGTGGGGAGGAATTAATGAGGCACCAGGAAGTGGGGCGGAGAGGCCTCCGGAAGGAGGCAACGTGCGGTGCATCCCCAGCAGCTTCGGGGAGGGTCTGCGAGGGGCAGCCGAGCTGCAGAAGCCCCAGGAAGAGCCCTCAGGGGCCCTCCCCTCCCCTGGCTCCCCAGCTGTGGTACCAACCCTCCCATCAAACCCCCCCAGTCTGGGGGTGAAACCCCAGGGGTCCTGGGCCCTGTTGGGCGGATCTTCTGAGGAAAAGTAGAATCCACTGTGAATAGAGGTGGGCTAGTGAGCCCATGGGTGAGCAAGGTCCAGACGAAGCTGGGGGCTGAGTGTTGTGGGGAGACCGGGCCGCCCCAGGTTCCCCGGGGTGTGGAGGGACTGGAAGCTGCCTGTGGCAGGCTTGAACCAGCTGGGACCCACTGGGATGGAGCTGCCTGGGCCCTGGCACCAAACCCTCATTAGGAGAGACCCTGCACCCCGCTAGGCCGCCAGCAAAAGGACAGCAGGGAAAATCCAGTTTGAGCTTGCAAGGCGGCTGCCAGCTCGGGAAAGCCCTGGGGAAAGAACTCCTCAAAGCCAGTGGCTGTTAGACCCGGGGCCCGTGCCAGTCGGGCAAAGCGGGGTCTTCCTGAGTGCCAATCCCACCAGGCCAGGCACCTGACTGCAGCCTGGGCACTCAGAGGAGTGACGGGGCCCAGGAAAGAGCCTGGCCACTGGCCTGGAGATGGCCATGGCCCAGGATGCCCTGCATGACGGGCAGCCCTCTGGGGCTCTCTGGTTTCCCCCTACCAAGAAAGCCACAACTTTTTCTGGGCCCCCTGAATCTGGGGTAGGAGCACAGGATCCACCTCACAGGCAGATCCTGGGGGTCACCACCTGTAGTGCACCCGCCTTTCAAAGACGGCTGTAGGTCAGAGCAGCAGCAGGACTGCCTGCAGCTGTGGAGATGGCAGGCTTGCCTCAGGCCCCTCAGAGCAGAGAATGTGCCCACAGTGTCCACACTGCCTCCCCCCAACAGTGCAGAGAAGACCCCTAGCGCTGACAGTGTGCCTCTGCCTGCCCAGTCAGGCCGCCTCCAGGTAGCAGGGTTTGGGGGTGAAATAGAGGGACCAAGCGGGTGACACAGTCAACCCAAAAGCCAGGTGCCCCATGAACAGTGGACTGAACACGAGTGCCCCTTGCCCAGGTCTAGCTCTGCCATGCAGCCCCCATGAGGACAGGCGAAAGCAGTTTTTGAAGGATCGCTTGTGTTGTTGAGACTAACACACAGCAGAGTACTGGTCAAGGTGGCCGTGTCCACGTGCATGCCTGGCTCACGTGGATGCTGCTCTTTAAGCCCTGCAGCTGTTCCCACCCTCCTCCTCAAACACTTTCCTCCTTCATCGACAGAAACTCCTGTCCCCCAGGGGTGCCTATCAAATCTTCCTGTGGGTTTTGAGCCTTTTGGGGGTCGAACGACCCTTTCACTGGGGTCGCCCGATTCATCACAGTAGCAAAATGGCAGTGATGAAGTACCAACGAAAATAATGTTATGGTTGGGGGTCCCCACACCATGAGGAACTGTACGAAAGGGTCGCGGCAGGAGGAAGGTGGAGAACCACTGGCTTAGAGGGTCTCTCCAGCTGCTGGGAGACTGCCTGGTATAGAGAAGCCCTCAGAAGTACTCCACTCACTGGATGGATGGATGGATGGATGGATGGATGGATGGATGGATGGATGGATGGATGGATGAATGGATGGAAGGATGGATGGGTGGGTGGGTGGATGGGTGGGTGGATGGAAGGATGGAAGGATCCCTTTCCAGCAGAGACGTGCATGAAGGTGTGTGCGTAGGCAGGCCAGGAGACCTCTTGGAGCAGAGATCTGGTCCATCACATGGACGGTTCCCCACAGAGCCCAGTGCTGAAGGCAGGGCTCTCTGACTCGTGAAGCTACACGCGGTGTGCTGGAAGAAGACTTCGGGGGTGTTCCAGGTCTAGCGTCATGACACATCTTTGTCAGGGTCCTAGATTCCAGGCTTACCCTCTTTCACGAGCCCTAGTGGCATCCTGGTGCTACACCAGGCTGCTAACCACCAGCTGTTCCGGGGAAGAAAGACGGAGCTTTTGACTCCCAGAAAGAGGGAGAGTCTTGGCAAGCCACAGGGCACTTCTACCACCCTGCAGGGTCGCCATGAGTCAGGAGTGAGTTCCTGTCTCCTTAAAATGGGCTCCCTCTGGAATGCAGATGAGTTGGAGCCACTGGAAAGCCCACTGCAGAGGTCTCGATTTCCTTCCTCCCGCTGTTTTTCTCCTGCCTGCTTGGTAAGAAGTGGGTAACAGGGACTCAGGCAGGGGCAACCACACGGGGCGTTGGTCTCTCTTCTCCAACAGCCTGTGCCCGCCTCACCCGTGTGCCCGCGCACACGCTCGCTTAGCGACTGAAAGGGGATTCATTCATTCATTCATTCATTCACTCGATGGGCACTTCTGGAGATTTCAGAGCAGCTGTAAACAGTGGTGAGGGCAGGGCAAACACACCTTGCTTGGATTTGCATTAGAAGAGGGTGCTTCAGAGCAGGAAGTGGACTCAATCAACCAACTAAGTTACCTCATTTAGGAGGGGCTCCGCTGTGGGAAGTAAGGGGGTCACGGAGGGGCTGTGCTGCTGAAAGAGGGACATTGGATCAGCGTTAGGGAACAGAGTTTTGTGGGGGGTGGGGGGGTGGAGAGAGCAGCAGAGAGGTGGTCTGGCAGAGCAGCACCCTGAGGGAGCAGCCAGGAGACCCAGGGAGGCAGGAGCAGGTGGGAGCCTCTTCAACTGCCATAAGGCCTTTGGATTTTCCTCCGGGCGAGCTGGGAGCTGGTGGCGGATCTCGAGCAGAGGAGCCAGGATCTGCCCGCTGGGATCTTGCAGTGTCTGCTAGGTGGTTCTGGCAGCTGCACTGAGACTAGGTGATGGGGAGCTAAGGGTAACACGCCGCCAATTACTGCTGTCCCCGTCGCTCAGGACAGACCTGGTTGCGTGGCTGAGCTCAGGTGGGGGCAGAGCAGGGGTCCGAGCATGGGCATGTTCAGCAGGTGACATGGCAGTTACCTGATGTTTGGGGCCTGGGGGTGAGGGGGCTGCTTAGAGGAGACTGAGAGTGCTACAGGGCTGGGCAGCCCGGAGGGAGGGAGGAGAGGGACGGAGCTGCCGGTGCAGCCACTGAGGGTGGCGGGGAGGGGAGCAGGCTGGTGTCTGTATCTGGGTTTGCCCATTGTCAGAGTAAACCAGCCTCTAACAACCGCAGGGGGTCCACAGGCGCAACTGTCCAGAGATAATATATAAAGATCATAGTAGAGTCATAGAAGATAGGAGAGATAGGAGAGAAAGTAAAATACAGGAGTCAGACATATGTCATAGTAGCATGCTCACCTTCTCCCGGATGGCCAGGATCTCAGCAGCCAGGTCTGCGCAGAGAGAGGAAATCTTTACTGTCTTGGGATATTTGTAGGTAGCCATAAGACGTGCATATTCAGTAGCTACATACGTCACAAAGTGAATGGTAACCACAGAAAAGTCCCTGAGCTCACAGGCGAGGAGACCTACTGCCTGCACTGGGGATAGGCAATGGGTGGATGGGTGCCTGCCTTGGTGGGAGGAGATACTCAAAGGATGTCAGCTTCTACAGGGAGAAACAACCATATGCTCCCTTTAAGGCAGCAGAGCTGTTCGGGGAGAACCTGTGGGAATAAGCAGGACGAGGTACTTGGGCTTTATCTCTAACTTGCCACGGTGGTGTCTTTCCAACTGCGGACCATGAGCTTCCCAGATTCCCTCTGTTGTAATGTAGGGAATATAGGCCGGGTCATATTTCCCTGTGTCAGTTTCCCATGCCC